TTGCTCTTCTATCAGCTTGAATCAGTCGGCCCATTCTCCTCTGACCTCTAGCATCAACAAGGCATTTTCGCCCACAGGACTGCCGCATACTGGATGTTTTTCCCTTTTCACACCATTCTTTGTAAACCCTAGAAATGGCTGTGCGTGAAAATCCCAGTAACTGAGCAGATTGTGAAATACTCAGACCGGCCCGTCTGGCACCAACAACCATGCCACGCTCTAAATTGCTTAAATCACCTTTCATTCCCATTCTGACATTCAGTTTGGAGTTCAGGAGATTGTCTTGACCAGGACCACACCCCTAAATGCATTGAAGCTACTGCCATGTGATTGGTTGATTAGATAATTGCATTAATGAGAAATTGAACAGGTGTTCCTAATAACCCTTTAGGTGAGTGTATTTCAGAATGGAACAACAAAGAAATCGAGCATTTGCAGCTTGAACAAACTTTTGTTTTTGGCACTGTAACTTTAAAAGGATAGTTCACCCCAAAAATGATTTCATTATTTACTCACCCTTGCCATCCCATGTATGTATATATATATATATATATATATATATATATATATATATATATATACATGGGATGGCAAGGGTGAGTAAATATTTTTGGGGTGAACTCTCCCTTATTTATATATATATATATATATATATATTTAACTTTTATATATATATATATAACAAACAAATATATTTTACAATAATACAGTAATACAATAGTAGCAGTAGTCCAGCCATAACCTTTTGTTTTATTAAGCATTAATATATAGATGTGGTCATTTTTCAATGTACTACTGATCAATACATTAATATCAATACCCATATCATAAGTTTTGCATGTAACCCACATCGTGGTATTGGCATAAATTATATCTCAAATCATGCAGTATCAAGACATCCAAAGCACCCTATCAATGCTTTATCAACAACCCAGTGTAACGGAGGCCAGCTAGTAGTTGCTGTGCAAGTAAACCTCACTCCTCTGATCTCAATAGGCTGACAGACGCTAGAGGCTGCAGTCTTTAGCCTCCTTGTTAGAGCACCTGACTCTCATGCCGGAGACCCGGGTTCAAGGCCCGCTCGGAGCGGGCCGAGTAGGACCCGGGGGGAGGGGTTACACCAGCATACCCTAACAATGCCTCAGCTCCCATACAAATCACCCTATCAATGCCCTAGCAACAGCCCAGAACACCCAATGCCTGGGCAACAACCAGGAACATTCCCGTAACCCTAAGCACTCACCCAAAACACCATATCAGTGCCCTAGTACAGGGATGGGCAATGTCGGTCCTGGAGTGCTGCTGTCCTGCTGAGTTTAGCTCCAAACCTAACCAAACACACCTGAAAAAGCTAATCAATGTCTTCAGGATTACTGAGGCTATAGACGGGAGGGGTTTTTTCAGGGTTGGAGCTAAACTCTGCAGGACAGTGGCCCACCCAAAACACCCTATCAGTGCCCTATCAACAACCCAGAACACTCAATGCCCGTGCAACAACCAAGAACACCTTAGCAATGCCCTTTTAACAACCTAGAGTACGCCAGTAATGCCTTAGCACCCCCCCCCAAAACACCCTATCAGTGGCCTATCAACAACCCAGAACACCCCAGTAATGCCTTAGCACCCACCCAAAACACCTTATCAGTGGCCTATCAACAACCCAGAACACTCAATGCCCATGCAACAACCAAGAACACCTTAGCAATGTCCTATCAACAACCTAGAGTACCCCTGTAATTCCTTAGTACCCACACAAAAAAACCTTCTAAGTACCCTAGCAACAAACCAGAACACCAAATGCCTGTGCAACAACAAAGAACACCTCAACAATGCCCTATCAACAACCCAGAACACCTTAGTAATGCCCTATCAACAACCCAGAACACCTTAGTAATGCCCTGTCAACAACCCAGAGTACCCCAACAATGCATTAGCACTTACCCAAAACTCCCAATCAATGCTCTAGTAACAACCCAGAACATCTCAGCAATGCCCTATCCACAACCAAGAGCACTCTAGCAATACCTTATCAACCCCTAATTCACATCACCATCACAACCTTGCATCATGTTAAAAGTGGCGACCCTGGTGAGAAGTTTTGCATTAAGACACACCACTCAAATTCCTTTCGAACATGCTGTTGACACATACTGTAGTCAGTTCACTACAGCGCACAAACCTCTCTGTGCTTGTGATTGAAGTCTTTCTTCAGTGTGCCCGAGAGAGGTTTTTCAGTATTAACAAAACCACAGTTTTATCTCCCCAACACAATCAGGGCAGCCCTCAAGAGCTCTCAAAGAGCAGCCTGACTGCACAATCTAATGACTCGCCATTTAAGTATATCTATTCGCATGAAACACAGGCACTCTGCAGGTAACGGAGTGCTGCTGTGGCTGATACTAGTTGCGCTTTAAAGAACAAAAAAAGACTCAAGTTTGCCATCAAAGAAGATCAAGCAGTTGCCTGGGGGATGTGCAAAGCACACACTTCTCTATCCCTACCTCATTTATTTATTTTTAAAATGTCATTTCACCACCAACACTTAATGCACTCTCATGCAGTCTGTCCGTCCACTCATCTCTCCTCACGCCTGTCCGTCACACGCAAAGTGAAAAGTGGTAGCGATGAATTATTCACCACCACTTGAACTCCATAGCTGCTCTTGTTCCCTCGCTTTTTCTGCAGCTTTAATTGGGTTTCAGATGATAACAATGAGGACAATATCTCATTAATCAAACAAAGGGTCGTGGTGTTTTTAAAAAAGCTCAGATGAATGGAGGTGAAGGTGAGTATGGCATGCTTCAGGGGAGAGAGGAGATTAAACTGATAGTTGTGTGTAGCACACAGGGGTTTCATTAGGCATCGAATTTGAATGTTTGAAGTGTCATTTCTTCTGTAAGAGGAATTATGGCTGGTCGTGAAATGCTGGGTATCTAGGATAAGAGCAACTAAAAGGTGAAGTGTCTAATTTGTTATAAAAATGTTAAAATACTTTTTCCTATCCTAGCTTATTGTGAAAAAAGAACTACAAGCAAGCATTTTGTAGATCTATTTCCATTAAAAAAAAACCACATAAAAAAAATCAATGTGGCTTTTTGGTTTTTCTATAATGGTTTCGAAACATTGCTCTGTTTGTTTAACCCGTCACAGCAGCACTAGCTCAACCAATAATGTGAGTTTGTAGTGAGACTGTTTAGGAAACTTGTTTGGGAACAGTCATTGTTTTTGCAATTCTGTTTCATCCAGGTAGGATTTACACACTTGGTCTGTGTTGGCGTTTTCTATCTCTCTATAAGTGCACTCACATTAACAATTTTGTGTTTGTACATTGCTACGCTACGTTCTCAATAGTGTATGTAGCAATGTATAAAACACAGCTCACTTTCAAATACAGTTTATTTTCAAATCAAGCTACTTTATGTTGGTCAACAGATCGAAGGACTTCAACAACTTGAACCTAATGGGGAATCTTTTACCCTTGCGGTAATTTCCCAGTGGTGTGGATTCCTTTTAAAATGACTGGATTTCGCTCGAGAACATTTGCTGAACATAAATGTGACACAGATCTAGACAATTTTTACCCATCCTTTAGTTCTAAATAGGCTTAAGGGTAGGTTCAGGGTTAGTACCTAGTTATTACAGTTATTGTAATCACTATAATGAGTGCATAGTAAGTACATGTGGAACAGGATTGTAAAATAAAGAGCTTCCGAATGTCATGATCATGTAAACTTGGATTTAAGTGCATTAATATAATTTATTTTTGCTTTTTTATTTTACAAACTGAGGTTCAAGTTCAAGATGGGCCACAGAAACTGCACAAGTACATCAGGCTAACAATATTTTGAATGTTCTGTTGATATCAAAGACATATATATATATATATATATAGTAGCACTAAAGGAAAAGAAGAAACGGGAATCTAGTACTTGCTAGAGATGTTCACCGGAACACTTTGCCTACCAAGATATTTATTTTGACTAAGATTGCAAAGATGTTCATCTTGGTTCGGCACACACACTGACTGTTTTTTAACCCAGCCTGAGGGCTTTAAAATGAGAAATACGTCATTTCTGATAATTTACCTATAAATATAACCGCATGAGCCTGCAGGGCTGTGGTCATACTCCGCATGTATGACTGGCTTGATAAGGATCATTGCGTGTCTCCAGTGTGGCAGTAGATGCAGAAAGCTGAACAGATGCCCGAGGCCTGTTCTGTTCACACAGATAAGCAGATGTCACAGCTGTCATACACTCCAAAACTTATGATACTGCATCCTGTATCAGGCAGAGAATAACCCTTGTGATTGTGAGGCTGCGGTAAACTTCCAGTGACTTGTGATATGGGCTGGAACTTGTTCCTGTGGTGGGCCGAAGGCTATTTCTAATCTTAATCTGGTCCACATTACAGGTTATTTTGGCAATTAACAGTAGACAATGTTACTTGCATATAAAGTGGCCAAAGTTATGTGACATTTAGGACGGGATGGATCTGAAATCGTATCTATAACTTGATGCAACTTTATAAGTGTGCTTAAAGTCTGCAACTCCTTGGATATACATAATAATAGTAAAGAAAAGTAGGCCTGGTTCACAAGTGGAACGGCTATATAACTAGAAAAAATGTGGGTCGAGACTTGATTTAGTTTATTTAGAGTTGACTGGATTGTGGAAAATGAGCATTGCAAACAAAAGAGATGACCAGCATGAATTCCAGTGGTTGGGTTATTCTGATCTAGCTGGTGAAGCTGGCTGACCAGTGTACTCTTGCTGGTTAAGAGTCCCCCAATGGTGAAAATAAATGTTTTAATGTTGTTTAAATGTCTATGTGGTGTTTTTAGTATGCTTTAAGAAAAGCCATCTACAAATACATAAGTCGACACCATGCATAGGCGTAAAAAGCCTTTACTACTTTGGGCTTAATTTGTGGTTACAATATGTCATGTTTTACTTGACTTGAACATGGAGGTCCTGACTGTTTTGGGTCTGTGTCTCTAGTACAGGATTGGCCAGCTGTACATGATCAGCAAGCACAGCCACGAGCAGAGCGAGAGAGGAGAGGGAGTGGAGGTGGTGCAGAACGAACCCTACGAGGACCCCACCTACGGCGCCGGACAATTCACTGAGAAACGCATTTATCTCAACAAGTGAGTAGAAACTCATCAGATACTTGTCAAGCCAAAGCATGAGTTGTTGGTGCATGAGGTCAGGGTGTGTCAGTCAACACGTATGTTACACGTAAAAAAAAAACATCACTTGCATTGCTAAACCGTAACATGCATGTTGACTATCACCACTTTGCAGAATGTTCTGGCCAAGATCCAAGATATAAACATACATGTGTAATGACAAACTGTTGCTTTACTTGACATTTTATATAACATTTTATAGGTTTAGTTCTGATAAACTGACATATATGGAAGCTTGTTTCCGCCACAGAATGAAAAATAAAAAAGGTAATTGCGACTTTTTATCTCACAATTCTCAGAATTGCGAGATATAAAGTCAGAATTGCGTGAAATAAAGTCGCAATGGTGTGTTATAAAGTCAGAAAAGTTAGTCTTTTTTCCCCCTTAGAATTGGCCTGATAACTCGCAATTACAAGTTTATATCTCACAATTCTTTTTTATTTATTTATTTATTTATTTATTTATTTATTTATTTAAACAGGAAAAGATTAAGAGCAATCGGGCCTGACTCAGTATAAAACTGATTTTCAGCAGGTTCCTGTTCTGCAGAACATGAATACCTCAAACACAACAGAACTCCAAGACCATACAATAACAAACACACAACAAGCACACAAACCTCACACAAAAATTTTTCAAAATTCTGAAAAAAGATGTCAGAATTTCGAGATATAAACTCGCAATTATGTGTTATAAAGTGATAATTGCGAGATGTAAACTCGCAATTGTGAGAAATAAGTGAGAATTGTGAGAAAAAAGTGAGAATTGTGATAAAAAGTCGCAATTCTGTCTTTTTTTCTCGCAATTGCGACTTTATTTCTCATAATTGCGACTTTATATCTCGCAATTGCGACTTTATTTCTCATAATTGCGACTTTATATCTCGCAATTGCGACTTTATTTTTCAGAATTGCGACTTTATATCTCGCAATCGCGCCTTTATTTCTCACAATTCTGACTTCATATCTCGCAATTGTGAGATAAAAAGTCGCAATTATTATAAATGTTTTTTTATTCAGTGGTGGAAACAAGCTTCCATAGGCATCCAACAAAGTGGCAGCTCATTCAAATAATGAGTCTACTTGAACTGCACACAGAACCTCTCCTTGGCTTTATATCGTGTCTGCTTTTACTGCATGAACTGGGTGGATGTTCAAGGCTTCTAATGCAAGAGTGATCTCTCTATTAACTATCTATTAAGTGAGCCAGTGCTGTTAGCTGCATTACATACATCATTCTGCTGCCAGACGAAGTGAGACCAGCGTCAACCCTGCAGTCATGAGATGATGTATGTTATTGTGGGATTTTTTTTCTTCATCACTGAGGTATATTTAACGTAGAAAAGCACCATATCTGAGCCACCTTGAATGTAAAAAATAGGTCTGTAGATTGTACAGGATGACATTTTATATACCAGTTGAAGTCAAGATTAGTGAATCGGTGAAATGGCCCCAAACTAGTACACTGTGCTCTTATTATGCATTATTCATCAGTACATGTTATATCATTTAATGTATTCAAATATTTTCATACAATATATTCAATATTTCACTATTTTTAAGGATTTAACATTCCCTTTCAGCTGACATCACCTACACTAATGTTTACCATTAGACGAACAATTATTTAGCTTCAATGCAGGTCTTGTCATTTCCCAATGGATAAAATCTGGCCCGGCATTTTCTTCTACTTTTAATATATTTTGGAAATATGTCACTGACGTAAAATGGGTTGCAAATCCCTTTTCAGACTATTCTGAATTAGTCTTATCTACTATTACTCCTAATCTACTATTGACCGATTTCTCCTTTTTCCCTGTTGTCTGCTTTTTTTATTTATTATAGATGTCTTTTAGTACATTGGCATTGAGCCTCAGTCGGGGTCAATGCAGTGCACCGGAGATCTTCAGTTCATTCTCACTGAGAGAGCAGTCTCTAAGCGGCTGCTAGTTTAACAAGAATAAGTAAGGACATGACTAGGGACCCAAACACTTTCCCAGAAATAGCCAGCAATCGGGTTGACAGGACACAGTCCCCCAGGACACTGGCCATTCTGGGCACTGATAAATCAGTCGCTCATGCAGATGTGTTTTTGGAGAAACGCTTTATTGAGCTGAGACATCAGTCCCCCTGGAACCAGCTTGATTAAATTGTTCCTCTAAGGGTCATGATTGGCTGAGAGGTGGTCATGACATCACTTCTAACCGGTTCAGACTATGGGCAAAAGCTTGGAGGGATTTTGGGCTTCTGTGAAGCTCTTAAGTGCATTTTATCACCTCCACTTTTCATGCTTGGTAATTTTTTTCCCTCGCTAATAAATTCAATCAGACTTGTAGTTCTGCTCTATACTCAAAAGTTTTTGGCTGTTCACAAAATCACTCAATTCAGATATTGTAACCAGAAATATTTGAAGAAAAATCTACCTTGGCTTCTAAGCCCCTTTCACACAGAGATTCCCGCAAATATACTGATAATGTGTCCCAGAATTTGACCCGGGATCGTTTGATTTTTGGTTCATTTACACTGCCAGTGATTTTCCGGAATCTGTGCGTGCGTTCACACACATCCCGTAAAGATCCCGTAAAGACACATGACATCAATGTGTCATGTAATGTCTGCAGCGTCTTAAGTTTACTTATGATCTGCGATTTCTCTATCCCGGGATGTGTTTGTGTTCACACAGAAGGCACTCTGGCAACTTTATGGCAATTTTCCGGGATCAGCGCGCTGTGTAAAAAGGGGTTTAACTGAAATAAGTACCAAATATAGCAAAGTATAGCTATAGAGACATTTTAAAAAAACTAATAAAAATGTCAAAAGCATCTCCCAATGCATAAAAGGCCCTGTCCTACAGTTTTTTTCTACTTGAATATCATTTGAAAATGTCACAGATGTAAAATTGGTTGCAAATGCCTTTTCATGTTGACTTTTATCTACTATTTGTTAATCTCCCTCTTTTCACTCTTCCAGAATGATTTTATGTGTGTGTGTATATGTACAGTTGTAATCGAAATTATTCAACCCCCGTTGCAAATCAGGTTTGTTGGCAAAATGTACAGACTTTCAGCCGTTTGCAATGAACAAATCAAACAAAAGTAATTGAAATTGCTCAACACAACAAGCGTTTTTCCCCAAATTCAATGAAAATGCAACTTAATGACTTCCGCAGTTTCAAAATTATTCAACCCCCTGAATATAATCCCTCACAACAGCACATATCTGCAAAACCGGTGTTGTCTCGAGCACACCTGATGCAACTAATCAAGGGCTTCATTAGTTGCACCAGGTGTGCTTGAGCTAGAACTCCAAGACACACACCACTGTTGACTCAAAAGCATGGCACTTTTCGTCCCTATGGATCAGCGGTATGTCTGGAGGAAGAAGAATGAAGCATGCGCTCAAAAGAACACTCCGGCTACAGTTAATCATGTTGTGTCTCAGTGATGCTCTGGGGCTGCTTTGCATCCTCTGGCACTGGAAACCTGCAGCATGTGGAAGGCAAGATGGATTAATTGAAGTATCAGGAAATCCAAGGACAAAACGTCATGCCGTCAGTGAGGAAGCTGAAGCTTGGGCCTCATTAGACCTTCCAACAGGACAATGATCCCAAGCATATCTCAAATTCCACCAAGGCTTGGTAGCAGAAGAAGTCCTGGAAGATTCTACAGTGGCCATCACAGTCACCTGACTTGAACCCCATTGAAAATCTCTGGTGGGATTTGAAGGCGTTTGCAGCGTGCAAACCCAAGAATATTACTGAACTGGTAGCCTGGTTAAAACCAGACCATTCTCAGTTGTAACTGAGTTATGGTCTGGCAAAGCTTCATAGACGCATCATTTCCAAAGGGGCGTCACCAACGGATGTAGCTCAAACGCCTCTGGGTGCAATTGGATAGACCTAAAACCAATCAGAGCGATGGAGGACGTATGCAGAGCGACGTTCGTCTGTTATAGAACAACTTAGTTTGAATAAACGAGCAGACACTGATTAGCTACTTGCTCTACGTTTATTTAAAATGAACAGCAAGACAACAGAAGTGAATGTGCTTTCCCTTAAATAAATCACACACAGTAAACAAAACCTTAACAAAAAAAAAACTTTGCAATGAACTTTGCAATTTAGACGTGCAAACTGGGTGCCGGTGCGGTGAGACGTTCATGCTCGGGCAGATTCGGCTTGAAGTCGTTCATCCTCGGACGCAGCGCCGAGCGAGCTGTTACAAAAAAAGCCGTGCACACAGCCAAGCGAAATGGGGCCGGCCTTGCGCACCGAACGCGTCATTTTTGCCGCGCGCACCTTCGCGCTCGTGCGGACGCGTCGAGTATAAACAAGGCTTTACTCCGTGTCAGCGCGCGCTCTGATCGGTAAAGGGGCAGAGATTTCAGACCTCCGTTTATTAAGGAGATCTCCGAGATTTCTCTTCTTGGGAGGGGGGGTGCACAGACCTCTCCCGAATCATCTCCAGCAGTGGCAGCCTCCGAAGCACCACTAACTCCGCCTCCGTTTCCCTCCTAAGCTGATATTAGTATTTAAACATTCTCTATGATAAAAAAAATTTGTGAAAAAAATATTTTAATAGCACGGTTTTGGTGGTTATAGAGTTCTAATGACGGTGTTCAACTATAACCGTCACAGCCCTAGTTCCACGGCGGCACCCATCTTTGTAAATGTACAAAATCTGCTTCACCGTGGCTGTGCTGTCGTCATCGTGTAAAGCCCGCCCCAACGTTTCTGATTGGTGCCGCGATCTCGACGGATTGGAAATGGGCTTGAATGGTGTCTGGTTACACATCTCGTTTGCAGCAGGTCATAACAGCAAAGAAATGTTCTACTAAGTAATGAAGATGCTTGCCATGAAGGGGTTGAATCATTTTGAGATTGTAGAAGTCATTAAAAGTTGCATTTTTTTTGTTGAATTTGGGGAAACTACTTGAAACTTTTGTTGTGTTGAGCTATTT